CCACCCTCAGGCAACTTGTGACTCAGTGGGACAGACTGGGAATAAAACAAGTAGACAGACAAATGGTCGTATAATGGAAAATTGGGAGAAGTACTTTTCTTTCTTTCTTTTCTTTTTTTTTTTTTCTTTTGAGATGGAGTCTTGCTCTGTTGCCCAGATTGGAGTGCAATGGCACAATCGGCTCACTGCAACCTCCACCTCCTGGGTTTAAACAATTATCCTGTCTCAGGCTCCTGAGTAGCTGGGATTACAGGTGCATGCCTCCACGCCCGGCTAATTTTTGTATTTTTAGTAGAGATGGAGTTTCACCATGTTGGCCAGGCTGGTCTCGAACTCCTGACCTTAGGTGATCTTCCCGCCTTGGCCTCCCAAAGTGCTGGCATTACAGGCGTGAGCCACCATGCCCAACTAGGAGAAGTGCTTTTCGTTTTTTCATTCAACAAATATTTATTGAACAACTATCATATACGAGATGTAGATGCTTGGGATAGATTAGTGTACACAGAAATCCCTGCCCTTGTGGGGAGATAGTCCATTAACAATAAACATAATACATTAAATATTATAGAATGTTTGAAAGGTATTAAGTGCCATGGAAAAAATAGAGCAGGGTAAGAGGGCTGGGAGGTTGGCTGGGGGCACTGCAATTTTTCATTTACAGTTAGCAGAGCGTTAAGAAGATGGCATTTGATCAAAAACTTGAAGGAAAGGAGGTGAAGGAGTTAGCCATGAAGATAACTGGGGGAAGAGTGCCCTAGGTAGGGCGAGTGACTGGAACAGAGGCCTCAAGGCGGGTGTATGCCCAAGGGGATCCAGGAGCAGTGAGGAGGCCAGGGCATCTTGGCTGGGGCAGGTGGGCCATGGTGGGAGGAATGGCAGGAGATGAACTCAGAGAGGTGAAAGAGGTTAGATAAGGGCCGGACACAGTGGCTCATGCCTGTAATCCCAGCACTTTGGGAGGCCAAGGTGGGCGGATCACCTGAGGTCAGGAGTTCGAGAGCAGCCTAGCCAACATGGTAAACCTCGTCTCTACTAAAAATACAAAAAAATAGCCAGGTGTGGTGGTGGGCACCTGTAGTCCCAGCTACTCAGGAGGCTGAGGCAGGAGAATGGCGGGAACCCGGGAGGTGGAGCATGCAGTGAGCCAAGGTCATGCCACTGCACTCCAGCCTGGGCGACAGAGTGAGATTCTGTCTCAAAAAAAAAAAAAAAAAAAAAAAAAAGGAAAAATTGCTGAGAGTAGTGGCACATACCTGTAGTCCCAGCTACTAGAGGGGCTGAAGCAGGAGAATCACTTGAACCAGGGAGGTGGAGGTTGCAGTAAATCAAGATCATGCCACTGCCCTCCAGCCTGGACAACAGAGTGAGAGCCAGTTTTTTTTTTTTTTTTTTAAACCAACAAAACAAAAACAAGAGGCCAGATAAGGCAGGAGCTTGTAGGGACTTTGGCTTTTACTCTAAGTGAAATGGGAAGCCATTGAGGGGTTTTGACTTTATAAAGGGATACCCCTGGTTGCTGTGTTGGGAGTGGTCTGTAGGGGGCAAAAGGAGAGGCAGAGAGACCAGTGGGGAGGTTTTTGTAGTAATGTAGGTGAGAGACCTCAGAGTACAGTGATAGTAGCGGAGATGATGACAAGTGGCTTTATTTTGAAGGCAAATTGTCAGATTAACTTGGGGTGTGAGAAAAAAAGAGCAGTCAAGAATGACCTTGAGGGCTTCCGTCTGAGCTGGTGCTGACCAGTATGGTAGCCATTAGCCACACGTGACTACTGGGCCTATGAAATGTGGCTAGTCTCCATGGAGATGCACAATAAATGTAAAACACCTGCTAGATTTCAAAGATTTAATATGAGAAAAAGCAATACTGGATGAATATAATAAATATAAACATAAATTATGTTTATATTTTATGTTGATTACAGAATTTTTATGTAGTAAAAATAGTCATTTTCATGTTGATTACATACTAAAATGTTAATGTTTAGGATATATTGGGTTAAATAAAATATATTATTAAAATTAATTTCACCTGTTTCTTTTAATTTTTTTAAATGTGGCTACTGAAAAGTTTAAAATTACATACTTGGTTCGCATTGACTTCTGCTGGATAGCACTGTCCTGAGCACCTGAAAGTTCCTGGAGCTGCCACGGTCTGAGATGGGAAAGACTGTGCTAAGGCAGGTGGGAGGTGAGGGTAGATCAGGAGTGCAGTTCTGGAAGTGTTGAATTTGAGGTGTAAGTTATACCTCCAAGAAGAGGTGAAAAATAGACCACCAGGTAGACAAGTCTAGAGTCTGGGGAGAGGTCAGAGCTGGAGACCTAAACTTGGGAGTCGTCAGCGCTTAGATGGGTGCAGAGAGCTGTGAGTGAGTGCAGATAGAGAAGAGGACCAAGATCAAAGCTCTCATGCACTCCCATATCTAGAGGTTTGGGAGAAGAGGAAGAATCTACAAAATGGACAGAAAAGAAATAGACAGCAAATAAAAGGCCAGGAGAATATGATGTCATGGGAGCAAAGTGAAGAAAATGGAGGAGAAGAAGGGAGAGGCCAACTGTGTCCTACGCTTTCTGAGGGGTCTGCTACTGAGTATGATGGGACTTAGAACTGACCCTTGGAATTGGAGGTCACTGGGGATCTTGACAAGTACAGTCTCAGAGTGATGGGGTGAAAGCCCGGTCAGAGTGGGTTTTAAGAGAGAATAGAAAAGTATAGACAGTGTCTTTTGAGGAATTTTTCCGCAAAGAAGAGCAGAGAGTTGGAATGATTGTTGCCAGAGGAAGTAGAGTCAAGAAAAGAGTTTTTATGTTGTTGTTTTTGAGATGGAGTCTTGCTCTGTGGCCCAGGTTGGAGTGCAGTGGCACGATCTCGGCTCACCGCAACCTCTGCCTTCTGGGTTCAAGTGATTCTCCTGCCTCAGCCTCCTGAGTAGCTGGGACTACAGGCATGTGCCACAATGCCCAGCTAATTTTTGTACTTTTAGTAGAGACAGGGTTTTTCACCATGTTGGCCAGGATGGTCTCGATCTCTTGACCTCGTGATCCGCCTGCCTCGGCCTCCCAAAGTGCTGGGATTACAGGCGTGAGCCACCGTACCCGTCCAAGAAGAGTTTTTTACTGGATGCAATGTTATGTAGGTTTGTAGGTGAATAGGAATGATCTGGTAGGGAGGGACAGTTATGTACGGGAGAGGAGAGTGAAGGATGTCTAGAGTGATTGCGTGGGTGAGAGCAATAGGCTTAAGTGCACAGAGGAGGGTCTGGCTTTAGACACGGGTGTTTATTATAGTCACAGGAGGAAGGCAGAATATGTGCGTGAAGTTGGGTAAACATGGCACTGGGAGTCTGTGGGGGTTCTTATCTGATTACTTTAATTTCTCAGTGAAGTAGGAAACAGGCTGCAGTAGCCGTTCTCAACGTTAGCTGGGAAACTTTTAAAACTACAAGTGCCTGGGCCCTCTCCCAGAGATTCACATTTAAGTGTCTGGTGTGGAGCCCATGTACTGATATTTTTTAATGTTTCCCAAGTTATTTTGTGCTGTTGAGGTTGAGAACCCCTGGAAAGTGATAGAGAATAATAGAGGAATCTACTCAGATTAGTTAAGGGAGGCCTCTCTGAGAAGATGACATAAGCAGAGACCTGAAGGATGAGAAAAAGCAGCCCAGGGAAGCATGGAAGGAGGCAAGTTCTAGGTAGAGGGAAGAGTGTGTGCAAAGGCTCTGAAACACGGAGGAGAATGTGGCTGTAAGCAAGGGCCAGGGCAACACAGGATGCAGTCAGGGGAGTGTCTATGGGCCTCAGTGTACAAGTTCTTGCAGCCCATTGGAATTTGGGTTTAACCTAAGTGCAAATGGGACGTTATTAAAGGCTTCCTGCAAGGGAGTAAAATGGTCTTATCTGCATTTGTAAAAGAGCACTTTGGTGCCTGTGGGGGAATGAGTGTGGGAGGGAGGGCAAGAGTGAAAGCAGGTGACCAGTTAGGGAATTTGTATCACCCTGGTGAGAGTTGATAGGAACTTGGTGCTTGGTCCAGGGAGAGTTCAAGAACGTTTTGGAGAAAGAGTCAAGACATATTGATTAGCCGTGGGCAACCATGACAGGGAGCCATCTACACAGCCCTTCCCCGTCTTTTCCATCCGAGTCATATTAATGGCACAGAAGATGGACTGAAATTTTCCCAATAAAATTTCCAAGTATGCTCAGGAAAGCAGCTCCATGCCAATCTTAAGGGTTTTGAACCTCCCTATTCCCCTGTTTGAAAAGCAGATCCAGACTGGGCACAGTGGCTCATGCCTGTAACCCCAACAGTTTGGGAGGCCAAGGTGGGAGGATCACTTGAGCCCAGGAGTTTGAGACCAGCCTGGGCAACATAGTGAGACCTCATCTCTACTAAAAATAAAAATTAAAAAATTAGCCAGGTGTGGTGGCCATTATATGCCTGTAGTCCCAGCTACTCAGGGTGGGAGGATCCCTTGAGCCCAGAAGTTCAAGGCTGCAGTGAGCCATGATTGCACCACTGTGCTCAGCCTGGGCAGCAGAGAGACAGAGACACCCTGTCTCAAAAGAGGCTGGGCGTGGTAGCTCACGCCTGTAATCCCAACATATTGGGAGGCCAAGGCGGGTGAATCACCTGATGTCAGGAATTTTCAACCAGCCTGACCAACATCAAGAAACCCCATCTCTACTAAAAATACAAAATTAGCCGGGCGTGGTAGCGTATTCTTGTAATCCCAGCTACTCAGGAGGCTGAGGCAGGAGAATCACTTGAACCCCAGAGGCAGAGGTTGTGGTGAGCCGAGATCGCACCATTGCACTCCAGCCTCAGCAACAGGAGCGAAGCTCCATCTCAAAAAAAGAAAGAAAGAAAAAAAGAAAAGAAAAGCAGATCCAGCACCTGCTAGGCATTCTATTCTTAGGTGATGTGAGTAGGATGGAGAAGGTACAAAGAGGGTGTCCAGGGTACTTGTCTAATGTGTGTCCCTCCCTGTCTTGTCCCCCACAAGGCTCAGCAGGCAGGATCTGGAGGCACGGGAGGATGCTGGCTATGCCAGCCTTGAGCTACCTGGAGACTCCACTCTCTTATCACCCACCCTGGAAACAGAGGAGACCAGTGATGACCTCATTTCACCCTATGCCAGCTTTTCCTTCACGGCAGACCGCCCCACGCCCCTGCTCAGTGGCTGGCTAGACAAGCTCTCCCCTCAGGGGTGGGTGCTGGGAGGGGAAGGGAGGGAGAAGAGAGAGGCTGGGAGGTGGTTGCACGGGAAAGTGCCCCCAGACTCTATGATCCCCCTAACTCCATGCAACCTCAAACAGTGATCTTGGCTTCTTCCTTCCTCAGAAACTATGTCTTCCAGAGACGCTTTGTGCAGTTCAACGGGAGGAGTCTGATGTACTTTGGCAGTGACAAGGTGGGGGGCTAGGAGATGTGACATGGAGATGAGGGAGAGGGAGGGCTGAGAGGGGCTCAGAATTGGAAGGAGGGAAGTCCATGGTGTATGTGGGGGGGCAGTGACTGCATGACTGATGTCAGCATTTAAAGTAGCTGGCTTAGCAGCTGTACCCACTGCTTGTGGATTGAATGCCAATCTCATAAAATCTGGGGCAGGACCCAGGGGTTGGCACACATGGTTCAGTTCCTGTCCTCGTGGGTCATTGAGCTCTTTCTCTGCAGGACCCCTTCCCTAAGGGTGTGATACCTTTGACTGCCATTGAGATGACCCGCAGCAGCAAGGACAACAAGTTCCAGGTCATCACCGGCCAGAGGGTGTTCGTGTTCCGCACAGAGAGTGAGGGTGAGGGCCACAGCTCCCTGAGTCAGGGCAGGAGGGAGGGAGGCTGTGTGCGCAATAGCCACTGACCTGCTTCTCCATCCCCACCAGCTCAGCGGGACACGTGGTGCTCCACACTGCAGTCCTGTCTGAAGGAGCAGCGTCTCCTGGGCCACCCCAGGCCCCCCCAGCCACCCCGACCCCTCCGTACGGGCATGCTGGAGCTGCGTGGACACAAGGCCAAGGTGTTTGCTGCCTTGAGCCCTGGAGAGCTGGCACTGTACAAGAGTGAGCAGGTGAGGAGAGCCGGGTGAGGGCTGAGGGGCCTGAACTAGTCTCTTCTGGCACCTCACGATGCCCACCCCCTGACCCCACCAGGTCTTCTCTCTGGGCATCGGGATCTGCTTCATCGAACTGCAGGGCTGCAGCGTCCGAGAGACCAAGAGTCGAAGCTTCGACCTGCTCACACCCCATCGCTGCTTCAGGTGGGGCCTGGGCCAGTGGGAGGCAAGGCTGGGGGACTTTTGGGGGAGGCACAAGGGTGCAGAGGACTGGAGGCCTCCTCAGTAGGACGTCAGAGGGTGTGCACGGATGGTAGTCCAGTGAGCTGGGTCAAGATGTCAGAAGGGTCTGGGCTGCCCCAGATGTGGCCTGTGGTGGCTCCTGGAGCAAGGGCCAGGGGTATGGGACATGGTGGGTAGGTCCATGCCCATGGACTGGCTGTCAACCCCTCAGCTTCACAGCCGAGTCTGGGGGTGCTCGGCAGAGCTGGGCGGCCGCTCTGCAGGAAGCAGTAACCGAGACCCTGTCTGACTACGAGGTGGCTGAGAAGATCTGGTCTAATCGGGCCAACCGGCATTGTGCAGACTGTGGGTCCTCCCGCCCAGACTGGGCCGCTGTCAATTTGGGGGTGGTCATCTGCAAGCAGTGTGCAGGTGAGGACTGGCCTCAAGCCTATGTGGGGAACAGGAGGTCTGGGACTAGAGGGCTCAGGGTACCCATGCCCCATGCCCCTCACACCCTCACACACCCTCACACAGGTCAGCACCGGGCCCTGGGTTCTGGGATCTCCAAGGTGCAGAGCCTGAAGCTGGACACGAGTGTCTGGAGTAATGAGATAGTGCAGGTGAGGGGCAGAAGAGGGAGAAAGAGGGAGGGGTAGAAGGGAGCATCCAGAAGCAGGCCTTGGGCCAGCCTGGGGACAGGAATGGAACATCTGAGGACTCTTGAGTTCCTGTCACCTGCCTTTGCCCCTTGTCATCCCACAGTTGTTCATTGTCCTGGGAAATGATCGTGCCAACCGCTTCTGGGCAGGGACCCTACCCCCAGGTGAGGGACTGCATCCAGATGCGACCCCTGGCCTCCGGGGTGAGTTCATCTCCCGAAAGTACCGGCTGGGTCTCTTCCGGAAGCCCCACCCTCAGTACCCAGATCATAGCCAGCTTCTCCAGGTAGGAGGGACAGAGCAGGGCTGATCTGGGGTGGAGGGGGGGTCAGGAAACACCCTCTGGAGTTGGAATGCCTAGACTTGGGTGGTGGGGACTGTTTGGGGTGATCATACAACTGTCCCCAATGCTCTGTTTGGGATTTGGGGCTGACAGAGGCCCTTCCCTCCCTGCAGGCACTGTGTGCAGCTGTGGCAGGACCCAACCTGCTGAAGAACATGACCCAGCTCCTCTGTGTTGAAGCCTTCGAGGGCGAGGAGCCCTGGTCTCCGCCAGCCCTTGATGGCAGCTGCCCTGGCCTCGTGCCCCCAGGTCATCCCCCAAGTGCCTCCTCTCTCCCCACAGGAATTCTCAGACCCAACCTATGATTCACTTCTTCCAAGGGGCCCCAATTAGCTGATCACAGTGGCCCAGCCTGGACAGTTTCCCAAATCCTCAGATCCTCCAGGGCCTATCTCCTGATGTCATGTGATAGCTGATGATGGTCATGGCTGGGGAGGGTCTGGGTGTTCCAGGTGCTAGTGCTGGTCCACCCCAGACAGGGCCAATGCATAGGTCAGGGCTAGTCTCCCTGGAGACAGTCTGATCTCTCAAATAAGTGATCAGCTTAGTGACACTCATCTCCATTGGTCAGGCCAGTGGGGCTGAGACCCTTACAGGATGGCCCATGCCCTGAGGTGCCCACCCAGAGCTAACAGCCTGGTTGGCTGGCTGGTGGGGAGAGGCAGTGGGCAGGGGCTGGGCCAGAGGCCTCCCCTTCTCGTTACCCCCTACCTCTCTGTTTTGCAGTCTGGGTACTGAGGGATCCAGCTCCATCGGGTTCTACTTGGCTGTGCTGCCAGTGGAGTCAGGTCCCACTGTCTTTCTCCATTTCATCCCTTCCCCAGAGGGGGTCAGGTGATCCCATTGCACTTGGTTGACCTGACTACTTCCCCTTCCCCTTGCAGACCCCTCCCCTGGTGTGTACAATGAGGTGGTGGTGCCTGCTACTTACAGCGGCTTCCTGTACTGTGGTCCCGTCACCAACAAAGCTGGACCCTCACCCCCTCGCAGGGGCCGGGATGGTGAGGGGGAGCCAAGGGATGGGAGGATACAGGGACAGAAAGTGGATAGATGTGAGTGTACTGCAGAGGGACAAAGAGGAGAGGGCTGGGATGGGAAAGTAGGGCCATGCCTGGGAATAGGTTGGGGTCCTGGGGATGAGAGAGAGACCATGCGAGGTGGCAGCATTGAGTGATAGTTAAGAGCATCTGTTCTGAAGTCAGACTGTCTGGGTCAAATCCCAGCTCTGCTACTTCCTACCTATGTGTCTTGGGCGAGCTATTGAAACTGACCCTCAGTTTCCCCATCTGCAAAACAGGACTGAGTATAACACCTCATAGGATTATTGTGAAGATTTCATGGGATCATATATGGGCAAAGGGCTTGACACAGAATAAATATCTGGTAAATGGGAACTATGACAGTGGGGGCAGAGGTCTGCTACCCCTGACTATCTCCCTCCTCCTTAGCTCCCCCCCGCCTATGGTGTGTGCTGAGAGCAGCTCTGGAAATGTTTGCATCAGAAAACAGCCCTGAACCCCTCAGCCTCATACAGCCCCAGGATATTGTATGTCTGGGTGTGAGCCCCCCACCCACTGACCCAGGTGACCTTGACAGGTAATAGCCCACCTGTGCTCACTGAGCTTCCCCTTTTCTCTTCCCAACCTCCAGCCTGACAGCCCCCTCACTGGTCCCATTCTCCTCCCTTGACCTCATTTTCTCTCCAGGTTCCCCTTTTCCTTTGAGCTCATCCTCACTGGGGGGAGGATCCAGCATTTTGGCACAGATGGAGCTGACAGTCTGGAGGCCTGGACTAGTGCTGTGGGCAAGGTGAGACAGGAGAGCGCCCTCTGCAGCAAGTCGTGCTTTCCTTGTCCCCACGTGCTCCCATCTTCTCTCTTATTTCTACAGCCACTTCTTCCACTAACAGCTAAGGGTGACTGAGCACATATTCTGTGCCAGGCCCTGTGTTAAGCACTGCCCACTCGATATCTCATTTAATTTTCACAATCACCCTCAGAGGTAAGGTTTTACGTATAAGGAAACTAAGTTTTAGAGTTTACGAATTCACTTGGTCAAAGTCACAGAGCTAGGAGGCAGCAGAGCACAGGACTAAAATTCAGGCCTCTGTCTGCAAAGCTCATGGCCCAAACCTCGCTGTGCCAATGCCTCCTCCCACGAAGAAGCTGGCTCTGATTCCCACTACCTACCCTCTGCTCCAGTTTTCCAGCAAGCCCAGAGGCAAAGCTACCTTCATATTTCCCAGCTTGTCCATTCTTAGATAAGCCAATATCTCCCTCGTATATGCCATTGCCAGAACTGAAAGTTCAGGCCCTGGAGTCAGACATCCTGGGATTGGAGTCTCACAACTCTTAGCCTTGTGAGCTTTTCCACATCTGTGGAGTGGGCGTAAAAGATGCACCCCCTAGGGTTGAGGATTAAATGACATGTGAGGCCCACACACAGCAAGCCCTCAGTATGTGGGCGTTGAAATAATAATGATGGTAGTGATGATGACAATGATGACGACAATCTCTCCCATCCTAAGACAGCTTTTCCCTAAGATCTGTTCCATCTTCAACTTTTCACCCTGGTGCCTTCCTTTCCCTCCTGACAATGCGTCAGAAAGTCGTGTGCAGCCTGCAGTTCCCCTTTGACCCCTTGCAGCTGCTCTCCTCTGCCCATGCCCTTCTGAACTGCTACCCAGCAGGTCACCAGTGCCTTCTCGTTTCCAAGGGCCAAGGCTGCCTCCCAGCCTCTCCAGGTCATCTCTGCAGCATCTGGCACTCCTGTATGGGAAATGCTCCACTGCTCTGGCTTTTGACCCCCTTCTCCCAGGCCTCCTACAACTCCTCACACTAACACATTGTCTCTATATCTTTTCAAGGCTCTGTCGTGGCCCTCCCAACCAGGTTTAAGTCTCCTCTCATTATTATCTACATTTCCAAAAAGCTATCCTTTAAGGCAGTGCTATCCGGAGGGTGCTGTGAAGACTGTCACACCACACTAGCCCCTGGACTATGTGTTATGGTCCATGACAGGATAAGCACAGAATTTGAGAGTAAGCATTTAGAATATTTTATAGCAATTTGACATAGTAATTTTATGTGTTGAATCTAATTATTTTAAAAAAAGGGCTTGGGCCAGGCATGGTGGCTCACACTTGCAAATCCCAGCACTTTGGGAGGCTGAGGCGGGAGGATTGCTTGAGCCCAGGAGTTTGAGAGGAGCCTGGGACCCCGTCTCTACAAAAAATAAAAGAATTAGCTAAGCATGATGGTGCTCACCTGTAGTCCCAGCTACTGGGGAGGCTGAGTTGGGAGGATTGCTTGAGCCCTGGAAGTTGAGCCTACAATGAGCTATGATCATGCCACTGCCCTTCAGCCTAGGTAAGTGAGGCCCGTCTAAAAAAAAAAAGCGGGTCGGGTTGTATTCTTCATTTTTTCATCCAGATTTTCTAGCAATTTGCTTTTATTATTATTATTATTATTTTCTTTTTGAGACGGAGTTTTGCTCTTGTCTCCCAGGCTGGAGTGCAGTGACGAGATCTCGGCTCACTGCAACCTGTGCCTCCCGGGTTCAAGCAATTCTCGTGCCTCAGCCTCCTGAGTAGCTGAGACTATAGGTGCACATGACCATGCCCAGCTAATTTTTGTATTTTTGGTAGAGATGGGGTTTCACCATGTTGGTCAGGCTGGTCTCGAACTCCTGACCTCAGGTGATCCGCCTGCCTCGGCCTCCAAAAGTGCTGGGATTACAGGCTTGAGCCACCGCGCCTGGCCACTTTTATTATTTTTAATGAAAACACAGTATTGGCCGGGCGTGGTGGCTCACGCCTGTAATCCCAACACTTTGGGAGGCTGAGGCAGGCAGATCACCTGAGGTCAGGAGTTTGAGAACAGCCAGGTCAACATGGTGAAACCCTGTCTCTACTAAAAATTCAAAAATTTAGCCAGATGTGGTGGGCACCTGTAGTCCCAGCTATTCGGGAGGCTGAGGCAGGAGAACCTCTTGAACCCGGGAGGTGGAGGTTGCAGTGAGCCGAGATCATGCCACTCTACTCCACCCTGGGAGAGAGGAGCGAAACTCCATTTCAATGAAAAGAAAAAAGAAAAAAAAAAAAAAAGAAAGTACGGTATTGGTTAGTGACAGCTTGGGACTTTAAGAAAGAAAAAGGAAAAAGAGCTCTGGTCCTTTACTGCAATTTACTGCAGGTAGTTTGAGAAGCACTGCTTTGCAATTGACCTCAAACATCCTTTCCTCTATGAAGCTTCTCCCCAGCCCCCTAGGGTGGTGGGATTTCCCAGGGCATCATGAGTCTTCAGGTGTAGCATTTTTGGCTATAAAGAATGAGTATGCCTTTTTGACTTGGCGCAGTGGCTCGTGTCTGTAATCCCAGCACTTTGGGAGGCCAAGGTGGGCGTTTGAGACCAGCCTGAGCAACATGGCAAAACCCTATCTTTACAAAAAAAGTAAAATAGCCAGGTGTGATGGCATGCTCCTGTAGTCCCAGCTACTCAGGAGGTTGAGGTGGGAAGATCACCTGAGCTGGGGGAGGTTGAGGCTGCAGTGAGCCATGATCACAGCACTGCACAAGAATGAGTATTCTTTCTTACACCCACACCTCAATTAAGGGCTCAAGGCTGCCACACAGTGGTCTTCTTTATGTTGGGGAGAGCAAACTGAATTGAATTGAATTTCTTTCCTGTCTTTCTCCATCCATCTCTTGTCTCCTCCTTGGCTGTCTCCTTTGTTCTCTCCAATCCCTTTTCATTCCTGTTTTTCTTCTGCTTTCTCTTTGTGTTTTTCTCTGCTTTTCCCTACCCCGGTCACTCTCATTTCTCTCCCCTGTTTCTTGTCTCTTCCCCCATCCCCCTTTCTCCTGTCCTCCCCTGCCTCTACAGTGGTTCTCCCCGCTGAGCTGCCACCAGCTGCTGGGTCCTGGGTTGCTGCGGCTGGGCCGCCTATGGCTGCGGTCCCCCTCCCATACAGCCCCAGCCCCTGGTGTCTGGCTGTCAGGGTTCGGCCTCCTTCGTGGTGACCACCTCTTCCTGTGCTCAGCGCCGGGCCCCGGCCCCCCAGCCCCTGAGGACATGGTGCATCTGCGGAGGCTACAGGAGATCAGTAAGCGGGGAGGTCTGGGGGGACAGGGATGAAGGGTGGCCATGGGGGTGCATAGGAGTAGACCTTTATTATTTGGGGTTTCTTACGGGAAACAGCAGAACATGGTGGCTTCAGGTACAAGCTCTGAAGGGAAACTGCCCAGCTTTACACCCCACTTTCATCACTTCCTAGCTGTATATCCCTGGACAAGTTATTTAACCTCTCTGTGCCTTAGTTTCCTCATCTTTAAAATGGGTACAATAATAACATCTTCCTCAGAGGGTTGTAGTGAGGTTCGAATAGGGTAATGCATCTAAAACATGTATCACAGAGCCTGACAAGCATTTTTTAAGTGCTCAATAAATATTATTATTATTATTTTTTTTTTTTTGGAGACAGAGTCACGCCCTATCGCCCAGGCTGGAGTGCAAGGGCATGATCTCAACTCCTCAACTCACTGCAACCTCCACCTCCCAGGTTCAAGTGATTCTCATGCCTCAGCCTCCCAAGTAACTGGGATTATAGGCACCTGCCACCACGCCCAGCTAATTTTTGTATTTTTAGTAGAGAAGGGGTTTCACCATGTTGGCCAGGCTGGTCTCGAACTCCTGACCTCAGGTGATCTACCCACCTTGGCCTCCCAAAGTGCTGGGATTACAGGAGTGAGCCACCACGCCCAGCCTATAAATGTTATTATTTGGAGTCACTTGCTGGTTGGGTCCTGGGAGAGGGGACTGGGTACCCTCGCTGCTTTCCTTTCTCCTAAAAGAAGAACAATGTAAGATAATATTTTAGGACTTTGGAAACAAGAGACCTGGGTTTGTGCTTAGTCTTGTCATTTTATAGCAAGTGATCTGGGGCAAGTTACTTAAACTTTCTGAGCTTAATGTGTCACCTATAAACTGGGAATAATAGTACATAACTCATAGGATTCAACTGAACGTTTTTTGTAATGCTCCTAGCCTGGCATCTATGCAAGTTAAGCATTTAATAAATAATAGTCTCTGTAATGAAGATGATAATCATGAAAATGTCCACTGATTCTCCTCCCAGGTGTGGTTTCTGCAGCTGACACCCCAGACAAGAAAGAGTATTTGGTCCTGGTGGAGACAGGAAGGTAAATTGCCCCTGCCCTTGACCTGGGGCTCCCCTTCCTGGAGCCGAGCCCACACTCTGCAACCTGGCCTGCTGGGCCATTGCCCACTTCCTCAAAGTTTCTTCCCTTGCTCCAGGATGATTTGGGTTGGGTGTTGCTGCCCTCTGCTGGTGGCTTTGGGAAGTCTGGTCCCCATGCATCTGGGCCTGTCAGAGGAGCTGGCTCTGATTCAGGCCTCTGGGGTCTCAGGACCCTGTATCTGCAAGGAGAGGGCCGACTGGACTTCATGGCATGGAACACAGCCATTGGGGGTGCGGCTGGTGGGGGCGGCACAGGGCTGCAGGAGCAGCAGATGAGCCGGGGTGACATCCCCATCATTGTGGATGCCTGCATCAGCTTTGTTACCCAGCATGGTGAGTAGGCACTGGCTGATACTGAGCCAATGGGGGTGGGGGGTGGGGGGATGAGGGGGTGGATAACGTGAGCACAGCCAGGGTGGAACATGAGCACAGCCTGGAAGAGCTTTGCCTCCAGAAACTGCAACTGGACCCCAGCTGGTCATATGACTCTTGGCAGGCTGCTTTGCTTTTCTGAACCTCAATTCCATCATCTGTAAAATGGGGCCAACCGTCCTTATTTTCCAGGATAATTGTGACAGTGAGACAATGCTTGTCAAGCCTTGAGTGCAGGGCCTGGCATGTAATAAGTGTTCAGAAGTTTCGTCAGAGTGTGGAGTAGGGGAGGAGCACTGAATATGTGACTGAGGACACAGAGCCATGGCAAACAGTGAGCAGCTGTGGGGTGAGAGCTGAGCTGTGCAGCACATTCCCAGAAGTTTTAAGCAGAATTATTCTGTGTGAGAGGTTTTCCAGGCTTAAATGGTCAGCTGTGCAAATGGCCCCCATAATTCTTTGTGAGTTTTTGTTTGTTTGTTTGTTTGAGATGAAGTCTTGCTCTGTCCCCCAAGCTGGAGTGCAGTGGCATGATCTGGGCTCACTGCAACGTCCGCCTTTTGGGTTCAAGCAATTCTCCTGCCTCAGCTTCTCAAGTAGTTGGGATTACAGGCATGCCCCACCACACCTGATAATTTTTATGTTTTTAGTAGAGATGGGGTTTCACCATGTTGGCCAGGCTGGTCTCAAACTCCTGACCTCAGGTGATCCACCCACCTCGGCCTCCCAAAGTGCTGGAATTACAGGCGTGAGCCACCGCACCTGGCCCTTTGTTTTTATCCAGTCTAAATAAGGACCAAAAAGAATCTTTTTCTCCTGTGAACCCTCTTTAGAAGGCTGGACTCTTAAGAAGGAAAATTCACAGAAAACTAAGGTGGGCAGTACAGTCGTCACTCAATATCCGCAAGGATTGGTTCCAGGACCCCCGTGGATACCAAAATCCATGGATGCTCCCTCACATAAAATGGCATAGTATTTATTTGCATATATAACCTAGGCACATCTTCCTGTATACTTTAAATCATCCCTAGATCATTTATAATACCTAATACAATGCAAGTGCTGTGGAAATAGTTGTTATGCTGTATTGTTTTTATTTGTATTTTGTTGTTGTTATATTGTTATCTCGGGGTTTTTTTCCAAATATTTTTGATGTTGGTTGAATCTGCAGTTGTGGAGCCCATGGATACAGAGGGCTGACTGTAAGGAAAAAAACAGCACCTCCACAAACCTACAAAAAATTGTTACTAGTCATGGGAAATGGATAGTCAGTGGCTAATAACATTTTCCATGCCTTGGCAGTGGCCTTGTTCAGTGACCTCCCCCACTCGCTACATCCTTATTCTCTTCTCAGCCTCTCTCATGTTCAAAGGAGGAAATAAATCAGAGGCTCAGTGAGAAAGCCCTGAAGAAAGAATATGGGGCTGAACATGGTGGTTCAAGCCTGTAATCCCAGCACTTTGGGAAGCTGAGGCAGGTGGATCACCTGAGGTCAGGAGTTCGAGACCAGCCAGGCCAACATAGTGAAACCCCGTTTCTATTAAAATACAAAAATTAGCCGGCCATGGTGGCAGATGCCTGTAATCCCAGCTACCCGGGAGCCTGAGGCAGGAGAATCGCTGTGAGCTGAGGTTGCAGTGAGCTGAGATGGCACCACTTTACTCCACCCTGGGCAAAAGAGCAAAACTCCGTCTCAAAAAAAAAAGAAAGAATCTGGGTGTTCATCCCCTCGCCTCCAAGGTTCCTGTACCACCACTGTTTAGTCAGCATACATTGGTTGAGCTGCTACCATGTGTCAGACAGTGGGGATATGGCAGTAAGCAGGGAGGGTCCTAGGAAGCTTATTTATTACCCATCTCTTGGGTAATGAATAAGAAAACAAATATAGTATCTTCTTGTTATTTGTGGTAGTTATGTTCTAAGTCACTGCAAACATTTAATTAGTGAATACTAAATCACTGCCCCAGGGGAAATACAGGGTTAACTTCCTGCTAGCCTGTGGTTACAATAACATTTTAGTCAACTGATCAATATGTATCCTTGTTGTATGTGTTTTTCTGTGTAAAGAGACCTTATTTTATATATATTGTTTGATTTGTTAACACTGAACCCAAGGCCAACAGCACTGTAACTCATGCCTGAAGGAAGCTAATCTAACACATGTATTTTCTCTGTAAGGCATGTCACAGCTTTCTCACACGTAGAAACACCAGACAGCATTTCAGCACTATACTTGGGCCATTTTAAACAGTGAAATCACCAACAGAAAGCACAAAAATATGGCTCTAAATATACCATTAAAAGGATACACTTGTTTAGAGTAAGAACATGCACATTGGGGAGGGGACTTAAATTTTTCTTCACTCTGTTCATAAATGATGATGAAAATGCCAAAAGTATTGATTTTGGGGTTACAAATAAATTTTAGCAAATAGGAGAATGTGCAGATATGGAATCCACAGATAATGAGGATGGACTATAAAGTGATTTCAGAGAGTGCTATTTAAAAATAAAAGTGGTGAGGAAATACAGTGTCATGGGGGTTGTTACATGTGACAGTGAGGTCAGAGAAGGACTTTCTGAGACCTGAGAATGAAGACCATGGAGGCATAGAGCGCCTCCTCTCTGAATCCATGCCCCCATCAGCCACATACCACATAGGGAGGCCACGGATGGGCCATGGTGGGTGGTGGTAGCCTTTGCACCATGGTGAGCAGAGATGGCTGGCTCTCCCTAGGGCTCCGGCTGGAAGGTGTATACCGGAAAGGGGGCGCTCGTGCCCGCAGCCTGAAACTCCTGGCTGAGTTCCGTCGGGATGCCCGGTCAGTGAAGCTCCGACCAGGGGAGCATTTTGTGGAGGATGTCACTGACACACTCAAACGCTTCTTTCGTGAGCTCGATGACCCTGTGACCTCTGCACGGTTGCTGCCTCGCTGGAGGGAGGCTGCTGGTACTCCTAAGATCCCTGAGAACCAAGGCCCAACCAGGATCTCTGCCTTCCCCCACCAGAATCCATGGTTTGGCAGCCCTCCTCCCCATCACTTCCCACCCTGGGGGATCATCCAGAGACTTGGCTCAGGGGGAGGTGGGAAGGGGGCAGAGACACATCCATCCTGCGTTTGTGTCTAAAAATCCCTCCCTCCATACCAGCTGCCACTCTTTCTTCCTGGGTCCTCCCCAACCCTCCTCCATTCCATCCCCAGAGCTGCCCCAGAAGAATCAGCGCCTGCAGAAATATAAAGATGTGATTGGCTGCCTGCCGCGGGTCAACCGCCGCACACTGGCCACCCTCATTGGGCATCTCTATCGGTCAGTATAGCCAGACCCTCTGCAGGACCCTTCCTCGCCTCAGTCTGACCCTGCACTTTCTTTCATTCATTCATTCATTCATTCATTCATTCATTCCACAAACAGTTGTTAAGTGAAGGTATCATAGCAGCAAGGTTCAGAGAATGGATTTGGGGGATCAGGCAGACCTAGGCTTTAATCTGGTGCCATCATTGTAGCTGTGTGACTTTGGGTAAATTACTTGTACCTCAATTTCTTCATTTCTAAAAGGAAGTAATGGATGATGTAGAATCATATCCACCTCATAGGTTATGAGAGAGTTAAATGAAGGCTGGGCGCGTGGTGTCTCACGCCTGTAATCGCAACACTTTGGGAAACTGAGGTGGGCGGATCACCTGAGGCCAGGAGTTCAAGACCAGCCTGGCCAACATATGAAACCCAGCCTCTACTAAAAATACAAAAATTAGCCCTGCGTGGTGGTGCATACCTGTAATCCCAGCTACTCAGGAAGCTGAGGCACCAGAATCACTTGAGCCTGGGAGGTGGAGGTTGCAGTGAGCCAAGATTGTACCACTTCACTCCAGCCTGGATGACAGAGACCCTGTCTCAAGAAAAAGAAAAAAAAAAAGAGAGAGAGAGTCAAAATTCATTAAATTCTTAGTACAGTACATGCCAGTACATCTGGCATGTCATAAGCCTTCAGAAATGGTTAGCAATCAATATTATTTTGTTTTATTATGTGATGTCAGGGAAAGCATTAGATATAAGAAACACAAAAATGAGTAAGATGCACATCTACCTTTACCAATCTGTTAGGAAGACAGGTCTTTGAGCAATTCTGGGGAGAAACCCTTTCTAGTATTGCACTGATTACACTATATTACAGGGGCCAGGTGTGGTGGCTCACACCTGTAACCCCAACACGTTGGGAGGCCAAGGCAGGAGGATCATTTGAGCCCAGGAATTGGAGACCAGCCTGGGTAACATAGTGAGACATCCCATCTCTACAAAAGATAAAAATAAATAAATAATAAAAACATACTATATTATAGGGATTGGTCAACTACAGGCCCATGGGGCCAAATCCAGCTTATTGCCTATGTTTATAAATAAAGTTTTGTACATAAAGTGTAAAGCCACACCCATTCATGTATACATTTCGTATAGCTCCTTTCATGCTGCAGCAACAGAGTTGAGGAGTTACAACAGAGACCGTCTGGCCTGCAAGCCTAAAATGTCTACTATCTGTCCCTTTACATAAAAAGTTTGCTGATTCTTGCCTTATCTGTCTCCCCTAGACTGGGAGCTCCTTGATGCCAATATTGTCTTACTACTGTATCCCAAGCACTTAGCCCAGGCATACAATAGGGATTCAATAAGTGTTTGCTGAATGAATGGCTACATTGATGAAGACCCTGGCACCCCTCTGCAGGGTGCAGAAATGTGCGGCTCTAAACCAGATGTGCACGCGGAACCTGGCTCTGCTGTTTGCGCCCAGTGTGTTCCAGACGGATGGGCGGGGGGAACATGAGGTTCGGGTGCTGCAGGAGCTCATTGACGGCTACATCTCTGTCTTCGATGTAAGACTTTCCTGACCTCTAACTCACAATCCCTTTCCCCTACCCTCACAGGACCCAGAGACTCTGGATCCTGCTCACCCCAACAAGCCCCCAGCCCAGGCCTCTGGTGGCCCACTACACCGGGAACCACCTCCCAGAACCCTGGGCCTTTTTCTCCCACAACCTCACTTCTAACATCCTCACACCCTTGGTTCTTAGCTCTTCTGGCCTCCAACCCTTTTAAACAGGTCCTCCTTGGCCTTGAGATCTTCCCTGCAGATCCTCTTCCAGCACCTCAACACTCTCTTTTGGCTCTTTCACAGATCGATTCTGACCAGGTAGCTCAGATTGACTTGGAGGTCAGTCTTATCACCACCTGGAAGGATGTGCAGGTAACTCGTCCTGACCTTAGTGTCCTGAATGTGGCAGGAGGAGACATCAGGACAGGAAGCTGACTTTCTGCCCAGCTGAGGAAGTTTCCTTTCCAGCCTGTCCTTCGGGACACTAGGACTCAGCTCTCTGGGAGACAGGGGAAATCCAGTGAGAGAAGTGCTTTGGGGAGTGGGGTTTGGTTATGGTTTGCTCCATTTGTTCCACCATGAGGATTCTTCCTGGTGATAATCTTGGCACTGGATAGTTTGGTTTGGTTTTCTGTGGGAGCATCAAGTGAGACCTTACTACTAAGCGTAAGAGATCCAAAGAGGAGTTAGTAAAATCAGACAAAGCAGTGAGAATAATAATAAATATAATAGCAAACATAACTGAGGATTTATTATATTCCAAGCACCTCTAATCTCATGTTAGTATCATACAACTCCATGAAGTAGATAGTCTCATTTTTTTCAAATAAAGAAACTGAGGCTCAGAGGGTCATTTATTCAAGGTCACCCTGTAGCAAGTGGAAGAGACCAGGCAATCTGACTCCACATCTGTCCTCCCAACCACTCTGATGCCTTGGGGAGCACATATGCAGCTTAAAGATGCAGTTTTGCCACTTCCAGAGTTCTCCCTTTTAAGAACCTGAGTGACATTGGGGTTGGGAGGAGATCTTTGTTGGAAGAATCGCTTATGAGGCAACACGAGGAACCCTCTGACTTTGATTTCTTTTGCATCCTTTTTTTGTCCTTCTGACTTTTTTACCCCTCCCCTCAGCTGTCTCAGGCTGGAGACCTCATCATGGAAGTTTATATAGAACAGCAGCTCCCAGACAACTGTGTCACCCTGAAGGTTGGTCCTGAGGGGATTGGAGGGGAAGTAAGAGGATAGTGAGGTTCCAGGGGCAATGGCCTGACCAGCATGGGTTGTCTGCTCTTGCCCTGACCCCAGGTGTCCCCAACCCTGACTGCTGAGGAGCTGACTAACCAGGTACTGGAGATGCGGGGGACAGCAGCTGGGATGGACTTGTGGGTGACTTTTGAGATTCGTGAGCATGGGGAGTTGGGTGAGTATGACCATGCCTGTGTGTTCATGCATGTGTATATGCCTGTGTGTGGTTGTGTGGTCAAGGTTATCAGTGACTTCATGTTACCAAATACAGTGGACTCATCTACTCATCCATGCGAGGGGACATTCAACACAGTTGACTCACTCCCTCTTTCTCAGTATTCTTCCATCTTGGCCTTAGTGACCCCCACAAGCTTGTAGTTTACCTTCTACCTTAAAGGGAGCTTCTCTTCCTCTTTTGCCCAGATTCCAAATGTTGGAGAGACCCCCAGCTCAATCCTGGGCCCTTTTCTCTCATCTATCTACATTTCTCCTTGGATGAACTAACCTATTCTCATGGTTTTAAATGCCGTTAATAACCCGACATCCAAATGTATATCTCTGGCCCACATCTGTCCTCTCAGCTCCAGACTCACATATCCAAATGCCTACTCGACACCGCCACTTCTGACAACCAACTCAAATGTAAAACATCTAAGACCAATTTAGATGGTTTCTAGTCCCCTTTCCTAAAAAAAAAAAGTCTAGGCCGTTCTCCAGTTTTTCCCAACTCAGTAAATGGTACCACAATTCACCCGGTGATTAAGGCCAGAAACCTGGGAGTCCTCTGGGACTCCTCCCTTTGTGTCATTTTCATACCCAACTCACCAACTAGTCTTGTCAATTCCATTAGAATCAATCACTTCTCTCCATCTACACTGCTACCACCATCCTAGCTGAAGTCACCATTACCTTTTTGTCAACAGTAACCACTAAAATGCGTGGCCCCAGAAAGGGGATAGCTGGACAATGTTCCATGCTTGCCTCCCTACAATCAATTTTCCACGCAGCAGCAAAGTGAACATCTCAAGCATAAATCAGCTCATATCCTTCCTATGGTTAAAACCCTTCAGTGGCTTCCCATTGAACTTAAAGTATCATTCCAGTCCCTCACCACGGCCCACATGGCCCTGAATGTCTGGCCCCCGTGTCCTCCATGCCTCATCTCACATCACCTGTTCTCGTATCTATCCTCTTCGTTGTAGCTACATTGGCTGTTTACTTCCCCAAATACATCTTTCCTGATTGACAGCCTTTGTTCTTGCATTTTGTCATGCTTGAAATCTTCTATCACCCAATCGTAGGATGGCTTGCTCTTCCTAATCCTTCAGATCTCTGAGTCTCATCTTCAAGTGCCACTTTTGAAAGGTCTTGCCTGACTACCCTATTTCAGTTGCTGTGCTGTTGCTCGCTCAGCTTATTGTTTCTTGCAAAGCAATTATTTGTCTGCAATTATTTTGTGTCTATACCCTCACTAGACTGTGTGCTTTGTGAAGGGAGGCCATGTGTATCATGCTCACCACTGTATCCCAGGGCCAGCACAGTACCTGGCATAGAGACAGTGAAAAATAAATGTCTGTGGTTGGATAATTGAATGGATGAATGAATGACTGGTGAGAGCTGGACTGGTGAGGGCTTAGTATGAATATTCTGATTGATATATACCCTCACCTTACCCCTTAAGAGCGGCCACTGCATCCCAAGGAAAAGGTCTTAGAGCAGGCCTTACAATGGTGCCAGCTCCCAGAGCCCTGCTCAGCCTCCCTGCTCTTGAAAAAAGTCCCCCTGGCCCAAGCCGGCTGCCTCTTCACAGGTGAGCCTCCTTCCTCTGCCCAGCACCCCCCAGGTCTCTTCCCTAGCACCCTCGACCCATGATTGCCCATCTGTGCCCAGGTATCCGACGTGAGAGCCCACGGGTGGGGCTGTTGCGGTGTCGTGAGGAGCCACCCCGCTTGCTGGGAAGCCGCTTCCAGGAGAGGTTCTTTCTGCTGCGTGGCCGCTGCCTGCTGCTACTCAAGGAGAAGAAAGTGAGGCCCTGGGGCCAGAGGCGTGGGATGCTGGGTGGCCATGGAGAGGAGCCATGACTGCACCCACCCTCTGACTCCACAGCCCATACTCTCATCAATCTCATTGCTTTTCTGCCCCCTACTTCTGAGACCCTGTGACCACAGACCCCATTGCTTCCATGACATCTTGACCTCATTAACCATGATTTCTCATCTCTCGATCTCACTGACTCTGTTTCTGTTCTCAGAGCTCTAAACCAGAACGGGAGTGGCCTTTGGAAGGTGCCAAAGTCTTCCTGGGAATCCGCAAGAAGTTAAAGCCCCCAACACCGTGAGTTTTCTTCCCCAGCCTGCACTTCCAGGACCTTCCTGCCTTCACCCCCCTGCCCTTTCTGACTGCCCCATCACTGTTCTTCTTTGTCTCCCAGGTGGGGCTTCACATTGATACTGGAGAAGATGCACCTGTGAGTACCTCCTGCCCTGGCTTCTCTGGCCCAGCTCTGCACTCTGTCTTTTCTCCTCCCTCTTTCTATGCTCCATTCCTATAGCTGTGACCCTCTCTCTCCCTCTGATTCCACTCTGATCACCCCAGCTACTTGTCCTGCACTGACGAGGATGAGATGTGGGATTGGACCACCAGCATCCTTAAAGCCCAGGTGAGGGGAAGGAAAAGGCTGAGGGCTGGGTCTGTGGTCCCCCTGGGGCCCAGCTATCCTCCTCAGTGCCTTTCATGCCCACTGGTGCCAACCCCTCACGCTCCCACCAGCACGATGACCAGCAGCCAGTGGTCTTACGACGCCGTTCCTCCTCCGACCTTGCCCGTCAGAAGTTTGGCACTATGCCTCTGCTGCCTATCCGTGGGGATGACAGTGGAGCCACCCTCCTCTCTGCCAATCAGACCCTGGTAAGGCACCCCAGTCTGCCCCCAACCCCTGATTCCTGCTGTAACCCTTGTCACATTGCAGTAGGGAGTGGTGTGCCTGCTAGCCTGGTGCCACCCTATGCTCACTGTCCCCCTCCCTTCTGCCTTCTTCACCCCCATTCACCACTCCTGTCTCCTGTTGCTAGTCCTCACTATGTCTTTATATCTTTCCCTCCCCTTGTCCCTACCCCACCTGTGTCCAGCGGCAACTACACAACCGGAGGACCCTGTCCATGTTCTTTGTGAGTATTGTGCCTGCTCCAGCAGTATGCCTGTCAACCCTGTGTTTCTCTGTGCTGCCTGAGCCCCGGATGTGCTCTGTTTTCCTCATGTAGGCCATCAGGGTGTGTGTAGGCCATCGGGGTGTGTGTGTGTGTGTGTGTGTGTGTGTGTAGCCCATCAGGGTGTGTGTGTGTGTGTGGGCCATCAGGGGGTGTGTGTGTGTGTGTGTGTGTGTGAGAGAGAGACAGAGGGAGAGAGGAGAAAGAGAGAGAGAAAGGGAGAGGGAGAGGGACAGGACAGAGAGAGAGAGGAGGCCAGAAAGAATGAGAAAAATGAGAGGTGTAAGGTGCGGTAATAAAAGGAGAAAGTTCGGGCACAGTGGCTCACACCTGTAATCCCAGCACTTTGGGAGGCTGAGGTGAGGTCAGGAGTTCAAGACCAGCCTAATCAACATGGTAAAATCCCGTCTCTACTAAAAATACAAAATTAGCCAGATGTGGTGGCGCATGCCTGTGATCCCAGCTACTTGGGAGGCTGAGGCAGGAGAATCACTTGAACCTGGGAGGCGGAGGTTGCAGTGAGTCGAGATCACACCACTGCACTCCAGCCTAGGCAGCAAGAGTGAAACTCTGTCTCAAAAACAAAACAAAACAAAACAAAACAAAACAAAACAAAAAAACAAGGGGAAAGTTGTCACAGAATCTGTGAAATAGAAGGAAAGTGATGAAGTGAATGCATTTTGGAGTTAGACAGACCTGGGTTCAAACCCCAGCTCTGCCATTTACTCATTATGTGATGCTGGGCAACTTAACCCCTTTGCATTCAGTTGACTCTTTTGTAGTGTAACCCACTGCACAGGGTTTTTCTAGTATTATACATGCCAAGTATTTTACAGCATCTGGCCCAGAGGAAGAGCTCAATAAATGTTAGTGATTAATAATCTGGTAACTTTAACTCTGTGCCCACTCCTGCCATCCCATTCCCATTCAGCCGATGAAGTCATCCCAGGGGTCTGTGGAGGAGCAAGAGGAGCTGAAGGAGCCTGTGTATGAGGAGCCGGTGTATGAAGAAGTAGGGGCCTTCCCTGAGTTGACCCAGGACACTTCTACCTCTTTCTCCACCACACGGGAGTGGACAGTGAAGCCAGAGAACCCCCTTACCAGCCAGAAGTCCTTGGATCAACCCTTTCTGTCCAAGTCAAGCACCCTGGGCCAGGAGGAGAGGCTACCTGAGGCCCCTCCGGGCCCCCTTTCAAAGAGCAGTCCCCAGGCACGGGGGTCCCTGGAGGAACAGCTGCTCCAGGAGCTCAGCAGCCTTATCCTGAGGAAAGGAGAGACCACTGCAGGCCTGGGAAGTCCTTCCCAGCCATCCAGCCCCCAATCCCCCAGTCCCACTGGCCTTCCAACACAGACACCTGGCTTCCCCACCCAACCCCCCTGCACTTCTAGTCCACCCTCCAGCCATCCCCTCACATGACCCTAGGACCAGCAGTCTAAGAGGATAGGTACCAGAAGACCCAGAAGCTCTTATCATGGCACTGTTGCAGCTTCCTCTGGCCCGGCTGGAAAGACTCCAGAATCCAGTGTGGTGCTGTGGAAGGAGCATTGGACTGAAGGCTTCAGTGGCTGTGTGTCCCAGGACAGGTCATGGCTCCTCTCTGGGCCCAGCCCATTTATCTGTACCATGAGGTAACTGAAGTAAGGAGAGCAGTGAATGTCAAACTGTTTGTCAGAGCCATAAGCCTCACATATTTTCCCTCAACAAGGGCAGCTCCTGCTTTATATATTTGATATGTAGGGGTTCTGTGAGAGATTTTGGGTTTTAAAGGAATGGTTTTATTGCATTAAAGAAAAAAATGCTTTGGAAACCAGAGGCCTGGATGATGTTAAAGTCTATCCTGTCCCACTTCCTACATTCTGGGACTACAGTGAAGCCTGGAGTAGGGAGACTGAGTTTGGGGGCTGGGACCAGGGAAGTCAAAAATAGATGAGTAATTGTCAATAAACCTTGGAACCAAAGACTACCATTCTCATTCATTCATTCAAGAAATATATATTGTGCACCTAATTGGTCCCAGGTCTGGGGATATAGCATGAACAAAACAAACAGGGCCCCTGCTCTTATGGATCCTCCATTGTGGAGGGGAACAGAAAATAGCAAATAAACACATAAACCAGTACTTGAACAAGTGAGTTTAGTGCTGTGAAGAAACTGAACCAAAGTAATGAACTTGAAGAGTGATTGTGGAGGCCAGGCGCCGTGGCTCACACCTGTAATCCCAGCACTTTGGGAGGCTGAGGGGGATGGATTATCTGAGGTCAGGAGTTTGAGACCATCCTGGCTAAGGTGGTGAAATCCTGTCTCTACTAAAAAAACAAACTTAGCTGGTTGTGGTGGCATGTACTTGTAATCCCAGCTACTCAGGAGGCTGAAGCAGAAGAATCACTTGAATCTGGGAGGCGGAGGTTGCAGTGAGCCGAGATGGCACCATTGCACTGCAGTCTGGCAACAGAGCGAGACTCCATCTCAAAAAAAAAAAAAAAAAAAAGTGATGGTTGAAATGGCCTTTGGACTGGGTGAATGGGGAAGGCATCTGTGAAGAGTTGCAAAGGGAAAGAAGCTGTTGGAGGAGACAGGTGGAATGCTAGAAGGAAGAGATTCTGGAGAAAGAAAGCGGGCATGAAGAACGCTCTGCACTGGAAGGTACTTGGTCTACTGAGGGAACAGCAAGGAGGCTGGAGCACAGTGAGCAGACAGTGGGAGAAGAGTACAGGCTGAAGTAAGAAAGACCAGCAGGGTCTTCCATGCATAGCCTTGAAGGCCATGGATTCTATTTGGATTTTATTCTGAAGCAATTGCATTTTAAGCAAGTAAATGATGAGATCTTATTTCCCTTTAAAAAAGAAAAAAAGGTTGATCACTCTGCTGTGTGAACAGTGGGTTGGGGTGGGGGAAGTGTGGAAGTAAGGAGACCAGATATTAGACCAGAAGTCTAATAATGAGGGCTTGGACTAGGATGGTGGTCTTGGAAATTGAGGGAAGTGGATCAAGAGGTTTTTGTTTGCTTATTGTTGTCTGAAATAGAACCTGTAGGACCTACTGATGGATAGAATGTAGGGGTAGGAGAAGGCACACTGACTCTGGGTTTCTGGCTTAACTAACTGGAGAAAATGCGGTGCCATTTAAAACGTTACCGGGGGAGGATCACGTTGAAGGAGCTTTGAAAGCTTTAGCCGGGTGCGGTGGCTCAAGCCTGTAATCCCAGCACTTTGGGAGGCCAAGACGGGCAGATCACGAGGTCAGGAGATCGAGACCATCCTGGCTAACATGGTGAAACCCCATCTCTACTAAAAAAATACAAAAAACTAGCCGGGCGAGGTGGCGGGCGCCTACAGTCCCAGCTACTCCGGAGGCTGAGGCAGGAGAATGGGGTAAACCCGGGAAGCGGAGCTTGCAGTGAGCTGAGATCCGGCCACTACACTCCAGCCTGGGCAACAGAGTGAGACTCCGTCTCAAAAATAAATAAATAAATAAATAAATAAATAAATAAATGAATAGCTTTAAAAGTTGAGGTTCCTATTAGATACACTAGCAGAGGTGTCAGTGGGGAGTTGGAGTGTTAATCTGGAGTTTTGAACCATGTCAGGGTTACTGGGACAGGTGCCTGAGCCAAAGGAGCTTAGGTGAGGAGGATGAGGAATGGGGGAGAGGCTCTTCAGAAAGCAGTGCTAGGGCTGGAAGATCCTAAAGATGGCAGGGGCTTCCTGCGCATCTCCCAGCTCTCACCGACTCACTGGTATCGTTTACTTTTCAGTGGGGCCCAGACTTTTTACCTTTGGGCCTGGTTCCTTCCTGGATCCAGGCATCTTTCTCACCCTGCTCACGCTGGCTTTTCCAGTTAAGCGGGAATTAGGAAAAGGTCTGGGACCAGCCCTCTCTTCGTCAGATGCATCTTTGCTCAGGTGCCCAGTGACTCAGTTTCCCTGGTCACACATTGAATTCCTCATCATTAGCTCGGGGACTGGTGATCTACATATGCAAATGAATAATTATCAATAATTACAGGCTGAATCAGTGGATACACTACAAATAGAACTCAAGGCGTCTTGACTCAGATGCCTGGGGTTCTCCCCACCGCCCAGCGGACGCTGCGTCCGCCCCGCCGCCCGGACCCTTCCGGGGTATTTGCAGCAGTAACAGGTTTATTTTCTTTGCTGCCCGCTCTCGCTTCCGCGCCCTGCGCTGTTGCCGGACAAGTCGTGGGCGGGCAGAGGGCGGGGCCTGGCCGGGCCTGGGGCGGGGCTCCACAGTGGGCGGGGCTTCCTCGAGTTCCGGAGTCCAGTCGCTGGCCGCCTTGCTGGAGCGGAGATGCAGCCACCGCCCCGAAAAGTGAGCTTGCTCCTCAATGGGGACTCCTGGCGGGCTGGGGGAACGGACGGAGCTAAGGGGGCACCCGACTTGGGGTGGGAGACGGGAAGTCGGAAGGGATCAGACCCCAAACCAGAAGTAACAGAGGAAAGAGCTCAGCCCCTCCCTGGCCCCGCCCCCTCACCGCTCCCTGCGCGGAGTGTTTTTTAGGTCCTTGCGCCCGGGGTCTTCATCCTCTCCTTGCCCCCGCAGGTGAAGCCGGCGCAGGAGGTGAAGCTTCGCTTCCTGGAACAGCTGAGCATCCTTCAGACCCGGCAGCAGAGGGAGGCGGATCTGCTGGAGGACATCAGGTAGCCCCCTAACCCTCTTCATTTACACTCACCTTCGTCGTTGTGCGCCACTTCTCCCCAACATACATCTGGCGGCGTGGAGGAACAGGGGCCAAGAGCTCCCCAGCCGACCCATCCACAGCCCTCACCCTAGGCTTGGCCTCTCCAGATACTGGATAGGAATGCTCCCCAACCTAACCCCCCCAGCTCCCCCCCAACATAAACACAGGAACTCTCCCTCAAAGCCCTTGACTCCACACTACTGCCCCCAACCCTACAATCAACCTTAGAGCAGAATCCCTCTCCCTCTTCCAGACCTGTTGGAAGGCTGGCAGACGTCGTACCCAGGCCCCCATCAATCTTCACCTCTAAGCCCACAGATGAACCTCTGGGTTGGGGAGGATCCTGCTGGGGCCCAGGGCAGTAAGGTGAGGGTTTCCTGTGTTGCGGCTGCCTGAGGTGATCTCAAGGACTCCCATCAGTCCCATTCCGTCTGGGTGCAGTTACGCTCTAGGAACCTGGCTCCCCCGGCTTCTTCCTGCCCAGAGTACAGGACTGAGGATGGGAGAACATGCCCAAACATAACCTTATCCCCCACCTCACCCTCCACCTGCAATCTCCGCAGATCCTACAGCAAGCAGAGGGCAGCCATTGAACGGGAGTATGGGCAGGTATGGGACTTTTTTCTGTACCTTACCTCTTGTTCCAGTCTCCTTTACATCACCAGTAATGTCTGTCTATATCTATCCCTATTGTGGTCAGGAGCAGATGCCTAGAGTCAAGCAGCCTGGTGTCAGATCCCTGTTGTGTAATTATAGCCATGTGGCCTTGGACCAGTTAGTTAACCTTTCTTGACCTCAGTTTCTTTCTCTGTAAAATGGGAATAAAAATAATACCTTACCTTCATGTAGGGTTGTTGTAAGGATTATACAAATTAATGACTATAAGGCATTTAGCAAAGCAAGTGGCACATAATGTACCCAAAGGATGGTATGATTATACTCTGATCTCATATTCTCCCAGTTGGGGTGGGTCTTTGAAAGGGAACTTGGTTCTGTGATGGCTTTTTCACCAGGCACTCCAGAAACTGGCTGGCCCATTCCTGAAGAGGGAAGGGCACCGGAGTGGCGAGATGGACAGCAGGTGGGCCCTATGGAGGGGGCGGGCCACAGGGACCAAAAAGTGATGGGGAGCTCAGCCCCAGGAGCCTGTGGAGATGAAGGCCTAGCAAGTGGGGAGGGCATGTGAGCTGTAGGTAGAGCTGACACAGCAGCAGCAGAGGAGCTGACCCAGCAAGGACACTGTGGGTGGGGTGGAGGGCAGGAGTGAGGCTTGTGGCTGAGCTAATGGGCTGATCGATTGATGGGCTTACAGACAAGGGAGGATGGGAAAGCACTCTGTCTCCCATGGTGTTGGTCAGGGGGCGGGGGTGGTCTCATGAAGCTGTGGAGTGCTCTCCTCCTCAACACAGACCTTCTCTGGGGAGGGGCAGGACAGTGTTCGGTGCCTGGCGCTGCTTGCTGGATGCCACCGTGGCTGGGGGCCAAACCCGGCTCCAGGCGTCCGACCGATACCGTGACCTAGCAGGGGGTACAGGGCGGAGCGCCAAGGAGCAGGTGCTTAGGAAGGTATGGCTCAGAGGATGGGGTGAAGGAAGAGCTGGCTTGGGACCAAAGGTGGTCTAGGTCAGGACTTTGTGTGTGCATCCCAATAGGGAACAGAGAACCTCCAGAGGGCCCAGGCCGAGGTGCTGCAGTCTGTCCGGGAGCTGAGCCGAAGTCGGAAGCTGTATGGGCAGCGGGAACGTGTGTGGGCCTTGGCACAGGAGAAGGCAGCTGATGTCCAGGCCAGGTGGGGTCATGTAGAGTGAGGAAGCCCAAGGTGGGGGAACAGGGAGGTGGGGCTGTGTAGGGGTGGAGCCAAGTCACCAAAGCAGGGCCTGACTCTGATCTCATATTCTCTCACTTGGGGTGGGTCTGATTCCTTTCCCTCATCTGCACAGGCTAAACCGAAGTGACCATGGGATCTTCCACTCTCGGACCAGTCTCCAGAAACTGAGCACCAAGGTTTGAGGGATGAGGGCATGAGTGTGGGGCAGGGAAGAGGAGGGCAGAATAGTCTAGTGGTTTGGAACCTAGGTGCATAAGTATGAAAGACTGGGTTGAATCCAGGCTCTCCTACTTCCTGGGTGGGTGACCTTGGTTAATTTACTTCATCTCTCTGAGCCTTATTTTCTTCTATAAAATGGAAAGAATACCCTTCTTTTTCAGTCCTTTAATATGCCTTTATTGAGGATCTGCATGTACTAGGCACTGTTCTAG